TATTATTATTGTTTTTATTGGCTAACATAACTATCCACGGATATCCCTCATATGAGGGATCTCGAGCCGGTTGGTCGCGAGGCTACGTGGCGCGTCCCCAGGTGGCAGATAGGGGGTTAATCGCGGACCCAAGGCGACCTTTGCTTCCCTGAGAGGCAGGTGGATCCAGGGGATGGACTCCCTGTTTCTGCTGCGCTGATTTGGCATATGCTTTATGTATTTGCTAGGCGTATTCATGCATGCGTGTGTGGGTGAATTTTTGCTTATGTGGATTGTATTCTACGAGTCAGTTCGGCCAAAAGCCTGGAATCAAGTGACATGGAAGTATATGGAAGGCGGTTAGGAGTGGCCTTCAACAAATGAGCTCTATATCCACTCAGGGAGAGCCTGGCAAGCTACCCGTGAGTGTACCCAGCCCCGACGTCCAGAGCCCAGCAAGCTATATGTGGGTATCAAAATGCTAAATACAGTAAAAAAAAAACGGGCCTCATTCCCCTGACCCCTAAAGAGCCCACAATTTCGCAGCGTTGGGTCGGACGAGTACGGAGAGGCTGCTAAAATATCAGGGCCAATGGAAGCTGCTTGGATTACAAAGAACTATGATGACGATCTGTACCTACAGTGCGCATACACTTTCATCGGAGCCCTCGATTAGAAGACTTGCTCATGCAAGCAAGAAGGATAAGGTACGACATCATCGGCCTGGCCGAGACGAGACGACGCCACCCATTCAACGCCGTCTATGACACCGAAGAAAAACTGTCCCTCAGAACATGCGACAGTATAAGAGTCGGCAGCGTCGGCGTTCTCGTCAGCACGAGTTTGTCCATGAACATTGATTCATTTGAACAACTTACAACCCGAATCGCACGTTTACGATTAAAAAGCTGTGGATCAATACAAGCATTGACACTGTTCGTCGTTTAGATGTCGACATCAAACTATGATGAAGAAGTCGGAGCGTTCTACACGACTTGGAGAATTTCTACAGAGAAGACCACACATTCGCCACGTCCACCTCCCGTCATATGAAATAAAGGAGGATGGATATGTTGTACCACCGGTTCTCCCGAAATCTGACATGCCTTGCCAGTCCTCGTAAACATACTGGCTCGGCTCCTCACACGTTAACTGTCTGAATGCAAGGTCGCTCCTCAATGGAAGACCAGCAAGGCCGTGTTATTGTTCAAGAAGGGTGGCATACACGATACTGGCAACTATCGCCCAATCTGCTTACTGTCTGTCGTCTACAAACTTTTCACTCGAGTCATGCTAAAGAGGATTGACAGAACACTGGATGAAGGACATCCATGCAGCAAGCAGGGTTTCGAAAGTTTCGAAAAGGATTACGATGTACGATGGACCACAGCCACACGATAACAAGGCTCATTTAAGTATCGCGTGAGTACAAAAGACCGCTTTGTCTCATTTTCATCGATTTATAGAAGGCCTTTCATTCGACTGAGATAGAAGCAGTCATGGAAGCCCTTAATAGTCAGAGAGTCCCTACTCAGTACATAAAGATTCTTCGTGAGCTGTACAAAAGTTTAACAAACAAGATATCACCATTCTACAACGATATTAACATTGACGTCAAAAGAGGAGTTAGGCGAGGCGATACCACATCGCCGAAATTATTTACTGCCACCCTCCAGAACGTCATGCAAACATTGGAATGGGATAATATGAGAGTGACAATCGATGGTCGGCAGTTACGTCATCTTCGGTTAGCTGATTACATCGTCCTTATAACACCAAACATTAGCCAAGCGGAGCGTATGCTTCCCGACTTTGATAAAGCCTGTGGAAAGATTGTTTTCCGACTAAATCTCACAAAAAACGATGTCGATGAGGAACGGATTGCTTTCGTATGCCCCATTCACACTCAACGGAACGAATATCTCCGAATGCTCCAGTCATGTCTATCTAGGTCGAGAAATCAATATGATGAACGACTTAGCTCCAGAGCTGAACAGAGGGAAACGAGCGGCCTGGGGAGCTTTCAGGAGCATCGAGGATGAAGTGAAGAGAACAAAGAACACCCGACTCCGTGCCCACCTTTTCGACTCAACAGTACTTCCTGCCTTACGTTTGTGTCAGAAACCTGTTCACTGCGTAAGCAGGATGGTCACTCAGCGTTATCGAACGCGCAGTCGAAAGGATGTTGCTAGGAGTATCCCGTTCCACACAGGTAAAGAATGGGATCCGAAGCTCCGACCTGCGTCAACGATCAAAAATCAAAGATGCCTTTCTGTACGCCAAATAGTCGAGGATAATGTGGGTCGGACACGTAATGTGTATGAATGACAACCGATGGACAAGAGCCGTTAGTGACTGGATTCCTCTGGATATTAAACGCACTGCAGGAAGACCACCGGCTAGATGGTCAGAGTTCTTTACAAAGAGCCTTGAAGAAAGGTAAGATGCTCGACAAGTTCCTAGAGCCAGCAGAACCCACTGGGCTACTCTTGTGAGCGACAGGGAAAAATGGAGGATTTCCTGGCGTCCGCTCGAGTCACTCGACGATCAACGGGACTAGAGGTGATACATGTGATCATACCTATTGTTAACTGTTATTTATCATTATTATTGCCATTAATCATTATTATTTTGTTAAATATGTAGTCTATTAGTCACTTATATGATCTACCTTCATATTTAGCACGAGTTTTAATAAACTAGTCATTGTTTCTATAATGCATAACTTTTTATTTGCTGCCTATTATTTTTTCATGGCACCGTCTTATGTGAAAGACAACCACAATAATGATGAGAGTCTTCGCCCATGTACTACACTTTGCGACTGGTCTCCTCCAACTAATTGGAATACTTGCGACGAATAAACCGCTCTCAAAAAGGCGAAATCGCCGAAAAGTCGGCTATTGTATCCCAATAAATTCTACAATACCAACCTCGTGTCTGTTTATTGTAGGAAAACAACGAGTGACGAGATATTTACAAAACGTAGATGCCAGGCCAGATTCTAACAACCGATTTTATTTCACATTTGTTTGTAATGTGAGTTTAAATGGCCCACCGATTTTCGGGGCCTACGTGTTATCCACTGCGCCACTGAAAACCTTGGTTTAACTTACTCTTTGAACTCAGCCTAGTTATAGCGCTAACGGTGCCGCAGGCAATCACCAGTAAACGGGAATAATCTGGGAACGCAAATTAGCATTGAACCTAGTTAAGCCGAGGCCGCAGTGGAAATCACAATGTATAACTTTTAACTTTTTTTGTATAACTTTGTATATGAGAAAGGCAAAGCAAGGGCCTCAATGGTGTAATGGGGAACACTTGGGCCTCCGAATAGGGTAATCATTGGTTCGATTCTGGCTTGGGATACAAGTTTTGCAATCACAGCAACATCATGATTGTTATTCACTTTGTTGTAATAATAGCGAACGTGTCTTGCGGTGTATTAGTCACGATTGGCTCGGCCGACACTGTGTAGGCCGCTGCGCCTTTCGAAATCGGTGCCAGAAGCAAGAAGGATGCTGCTGATACATGCAGTAGACGAACGCGGCCATCTACTGCTTTTTTTGTCCACTCTGGAATCTTCAGTTAGGCCTCTGGAATGCTGGTCTGCCTACACCCCAGTCTGTCTACAATTCTGGACAGGGCCAATAATTCTGATGTGACTAAGAAAACGTAATGGATTTTGTACAAAACACGAGTTTTATTCCAAAGATTCTGGTCGTCGAACTGCTCTGTGCTCTCTAAAAGGTAGTAGACATATTAAATGTTAGGTGATAATTGACTACACAGCAATAGAAGCTGAAGACATTTAATTGCTAAGGGATTTCTTTGTAGAAGGTATTCTGTAACAAGATTTTGGTCTAACTGAACAACTGCTTCTACAACTGTCTAGATTTCGACTCTAGCCAATTTTCGCTTGTTGCAGAAAGAATGTTCTCAGCGAGTCAATCAACATACGAGCAAGAAGGGATCCACGGTGGACCGAGCCATCTACCAGCTGAAAATTATGTGCAGAGAACTACTCACAAAGAAAGTTGTGAAGCTGTTTTCGTTTGGCATGGTATCATGGACGCATTGCATCATCCACCTCTCTACTACTTGGTAGAGCGGGTAATCCACTGCTTAGAACACTATCCTTAGATGCGTGGTCTGTGGCGACGAGGCATGCCCATGGACGCTCTGCCTTGCACCCATCATATTATACACGCTGTAGCGTGTAAGGCCTCCCGTTCGCTGATCATGTTGTTGCTGTGTGCCCCAGCTAGCGCACATCATATATGAATATAATCAGCCAAGGTTGCACCCTCCAATGCAAACTTCTCGGAGTAAATATGTGTTTTCGTACTTCACGTCACCTGGCCGTACCTCGCAACCGATTATCGATATCATTATTTATTGGGCGCTCTATTGATGACCACTGGTCGTCTCGCCGTACATCCGCCTTCGCACATGCTTATCAGTTATTTCGTCGTTCTGCTATTGCTCGTGCATTTCATTATTCCTACTTGACCATGGTTGTGCGAAACCTTTCGGCTCCCTAGCTCAGGTGTAGTTTGTTTATCCACCCTGCGTCATACGCACGCTCTGGTAGTCTGCATCTAGTACATTGTTTATCAGCCACCGCATCTGCCATTAATAGTGTGGCTGTGGCATCGCTCATGGTAAGTACTTGATGCGTTGTTATGTCGTTATTATTGCTATTTTCGTTGTATTACAGTTGTAGTAACGTTTTAATACTATTGTCTTTTTATTAGCCTTACTTAAGTAGTAGCTGTGGTGCGTCATAACTTTAAGCTAACGTTATTGTTGTTCTATTTTTATTCATTTTACATTTCCAGTATTTTTCCGTCGTTATTATTGCGTTATTAGTACTGTTGTTATGTACATAAAGGTGTAATTACCCGAGTTTGAGCCTGCATAGTCACAACAATCACAAGAACTGCGTGGCAGATTCATCATCACACATACGGCAAGCAATTCATCGCGCAGCATCTTTTCTTTACCATATCCCAAGAAAGCTACCCTCCTTGCTCTTCAAGAAATGCTCGCCACATTTGAAGCACCAAAAAGTTGTTTATGAAAAGGAGAAAGTGAAAGCTGGAACAAAAAATTGCAGATACTTGATCGTTAGATATGCACTTGCACATATGCTTTGAAATCGCCTTTACATCTATAAAGCCTTCACTGAAGAGGTTATCACGTGTTTTCATTAAAAACACGCCTCATTTTTAGCTTAAAAGTTGGGTGATCCGAGGAAGAATCCGGAGCACGATGTGCGAAAGAGTATTTGTAGATTCCAAACGGTGTTCACATCATTTAAATGGAGTTTCTTGTCAAATTTTTCCCCAAGCTTACTTTTCGAGAAAAGCGGCGGTGATATCGGGTCCAAAATACGATCCACCACCTCGAAAGACGTTTGGCCAACATCCTGAAAAAATTTCAGCAATTGTTACAGGGCTCTCAGTGACGGAATGAGAAGCACCGCAATAGTCTGAACACTGAACGCTCACCTTTGTTCTGCTTCGGATCGCTCCACAGAACATCTAACATTAGTTTCCATTCGTCCGCATTCGTTAAATTCTTCTGCTCACCTCTTCGCACTGCTGGACGAAGCACTGATTGGTACTAAAACTCAAATCAAAAAAGCGTAAAGGCCACAGAAGTACTTTTATAATCTTTAATAATTCCTGTTGTTTCGTGAAAACAAAAAATTCACATGTTTTCTTTTTGTTTTGAAGTGAAAGTTCTACCATTTTCGTACACCACCTTGGATTCCGAAATTCAATTTTACCAGCTGTTGTATAGGTAGTGAATCCGACACACTGATAAAAAGACGAAAATTTCATTCCAAGATAAGAATTCTTCATCGCATGTGAACGTTCTTCCCCTACTTAAATGTTTCTTGTGAAAACCAATCAGTCGGACCACCGTGTGGAAGGTTCACTACCACTGCTGGAAATTTTTGTAAGACAGTCACAGTTTGTATCGAAATTGTACTTAACACTTAGGTTTTCTTCTAAATTTTTGCAATAACTTTAGATAGGTGGTATCAACACTTCACTAGATATCGTCATACGGAGTAAGGATGTTCATATAGGAAGACGTACTCTGCTTCTGTGAATCTTTTCCAGATGAGCAATTTCTGTTTTATCGGAAATGCCGCCATGAACAACAAAAATGTCCTTGTCGATGATGGTCCCGATCGGCAGCCATGAGAACAGATCCTCCAAAATCTTCGCGATTACCGACGCTTGATCCTGCAGACAGGCATTTTTATAAGCCTGTAGAAACATGACTATTTGGTAGCAATACGTGTTAACTGAAAAGTTGCTCTAGCACGTTGCGAATGAAAAGGCCATTCAGAGTTATACAACGGTACCCATGCTCCGTATACTTTTATCTAGGGGTCTACAATTCTAATCCAACAAGATAATAACAAATGCACAACATTGAAGAATACCAGTAGCAGAACGCTTTGTTGCCTAAATGGTACGTCGTTTTGTCAATCTAGCAAGGTCTGTCTTGATTCAATAAGTTAAGACCATACAAAAGAATTATAGCAAATAGTTTAGTATTAGTATTATAGCAGTTATTTTTTTGAATTTTTACAAGAAATATAAATCAATAAATCAATAAGTCCAACTTTGGGTTTGCTACCGATATTACATCAACTTTGACACCGACCGTCAAGTTCTTGCATTTGACTTAAGCTGATATTTCGGCATACCATTAGTTTTTTAAAAGCTGAAGGTTCGATACATCCGGAAACCCACTTGATTAAACAATTCCTCTTTCTTTTTTAATTTCAATGGAGTGCATGCATACGTTCTGCTCACACAATACTAACTAACTAACTTTGCACCGTGAAAAAAGAGAAGAACGAACATGAAACATTACTAATGATGAAGTATGGAATGTTCGTTTACTTAACATATCATCCTAACATCTTAACTCCCAAATGTTACGCAGTAACCTCCCTGATTCATTTTATCCCCTGAATTTTCTCTTCATACAAAACATCTGATTTGGCGCTCTCAGCTTCTGCGCTGTCCTCATCTGTAAGATCTTCATGAACCCTTCAAACTCTGCAGAAGGCGAAATTTGCTGTAGGTTTAGCCAGAATTAAATTAATAGGTTGAGAGTGGACGACAGTTCCATATTGTCGAGGTTCACCATAGAGTTTTGTTCCATTTTGCAGTATGGATGGTGATTGTAACTAGCCTTAAAAATATCAACTTTTATCAACCTCAAGCCCAAAGAGATTATATCAGTCCAGATAAACAGTATTTTTGCAAAAGACGGTCCATGTGATCAATAAAACATTTGATTAGGACAATCACAAAGTCAGGAAATGGAGGACTATGTGCCATAAATTCTAAACAGATTGAATTCGATGGGAACTGGACTATTCGCAGAAAGATTTATGGAGTTTTCGACAACAATGAGAACAATGGCAGGTGGAAATCATGAAGTCAAACCTACACCAAAATCATATCTGACCTTATATTTCGTTTGAAGTTCCTTGGTGAATCCGTAGCGTAAGTTCATGATGTGATCCTCGTGGTTGCCTCGATTTAGCGTGATCGAATTCGGATCCATGATGAACAGCGCTAGTAGCAAGCAGAGCACCTACAATCCAGGCCATTTCTTTTTCACTATGGCTAGCAGTTGGAGCGTCTTGTTACTTGACTACTAAGTTTTCATCTTCATAATTTTACCCCTATTTTCTTTGCGAAACAAAGCATTTTCAACTTATCGCATGCTATAAACGAGTAGCCTTTCAAGATATTCTCCATTGCAGCCTTTTCAAAGACCTTGAAATGAGGTTGCTATGAAATTCACGTATTTAAACAATAGAAATGTGCTTTTTTTCCGCCATTCCCACTTCTACTGTGCGGATCCTAGTACTTCTCGTATTTGACTCGTTTCTTTGCACACATAAGTTCTTCCGACTTCTACGTGTCGCTTTAGCTGCTGCTTGAGGACCCTCATTTTGCCTTGAATGTCGTAGAATTCTGGTCGTCGATTCTCCCTAGAGCGATCAGGTAGCCGGGCTAGAGCGTTCACACTTAGATTGCAGACAGTGATTTTCTCTCGGACAAGTCCGGTAGCGATTTCCAGACCTCGAAGGGAAGACAGACTTGATTGGCCCGGAGCGGAATCGAACTAATACCGTGCTCATGATGATTGGCACCACTACCACTATGTACATACCCTACTGGAATTGAAATCAATTGACATAAAAAGCATATAGGAAAAAAGCGAGTGAAAGGTTCAAAGCGTTGAGGTTTATTCCTTCTTCCACGAAATAGTAGCCGAAGAGGAGTGCTTTAGTAAATATACTTCTCGTTTTAAGGAAAACTGCGCTCAGCCATAAACTGAAATGTTAGGGACGAGGAGTCTCCACTGACAATATGTGCAGGCAGTACAACGAGAAGAATGTAAAGTGCCACAGTCAGCAGAACATCTGAAGGCAACCATACAGGTAACTGAGGAGGCAGTTATTATGCAGTTGATGTAGTCAACTATTATGTTCTATGAATACTGCTTCAACATTTTTTGAAAACCTGTAAAATTGCTTTCCTTCACAAATGAATACACAGAATGCTTTATTATATAATTTATTATGACATGTGCCAACATTTCTGCTTATGAGCTCAGAGAAGTGAGATGAGAAGAATAGGAAAGATTATAAATTAGAAATATTAGTTTATTCACAATACCAATAACAGGATTCACCACCGTTTAGGTATCGAACTAGTTGCATGGTGGCAAATCTCTCTCTAATCCACGAAGGCGGTGGCTGCCTGTGGTGGTGACGAGCTAGGGGCAGACTTTAGCCTGGCTAACCTCGGGACTCCAGGGAACCACAATAGCTAAACCAGCAAAACACCGAAAAAACGGAAATTATGCTGGAGCCCAACCAGTGAAGACGGGCCATCCAAATATCCAAGCAAGCAAGTTTATTCATAAAGCGCTAAGACTCTAAAAGCAACCTTAGAAAGAGCAAAACAGATTATTAAAAACGGAAGAAAGTGTTGTTTTCACAATCCACGAAATAGATTAGCATTAGGAAGTAAATGACTGAGCGAAGACAAAGCCAGAATTACATAACTAAATTCTCATCCCAACAAGATCCTCAAGAATTTCACTTCCATTGGTTCAAGCAGTATTATTAAACACAGTCAATTCGTCAAAGATATGGTGGGAAAGTGAGGCTTACGAGGTTCTCCGGATACCTGGTATGCCAGATAGATAAGGATTATCCTGGTCCGATGCCGATTTTCGATCACAAATATCAGCTTTCGTGTTGTATTTGACACAAAAATAAGAATTCTTCAAAGATCTCTCACATTATTAGAGAAATTTCAAAGGCATATCAAATCCAAACCTCAATGGAATGCCCTCCACGGTCAACGAAATCACCGTTGAAGATGTATGGATTGTCCAACGATGGATAGCCGTTCTAAAATGCATAAGATGAATGCCAAATAACTCAGGTTCACGCTTCTCACTTCCCATTTCTCTTCTCGTTTAATAAATGGTTCACGCTTTCATCCGTTTCTTACCGCCATTCATTTATTTGCCCGTTCAAGCAAATTTTTTTTTATTTTTTGTACTTAGTTACAAGGCTGTTATGAAACATTTGTTCACCTAGCATTTCGGCGCCTTCACCTTTTCAGAGCCCCTTTGATCCGAGTCGATCAGCAACACTCGTTCATCTTCGTGATGTTGGACTTCTTTAATCCATTGAGTCGGCTCTTTTGGGGTGGAGCATTGCTCGAATGCAGTATTTTTAACTATAATGATGCGAAGATATTTGCAAAACTACGGAATGCTGGTGTCTGTGGTGGATACCGTACACGCTGCTACCCTTTCCGGAGGGCTGACGCGTTCACCACCACACTATGCGAATCCTTCGTTTCGCCTTTCTCTCAGCCGTGTTATTAACTTATACGTGCTATCGGTAATCACCCGTCAATGGGACTGATCTGGGGAGCACAAATCGCCATTGAACCCAGTTAAGGTGAAGCTGTAGTATAAATCACAATGACAAATTGCAAATATCTCAGCATCATTATAGTCATATTTCACATAACATCCTACCATTAAAAAGGACTAGGCAGTAAATAAAAAGCGACGACATTTTGAAGTATCTTTAGTTGGCGGAGAATGTTAGGAAGAACTCGCCACTCCAGAATAGTCGACTTGATGCAACAACGAAGACCCAGATTGCAAGAACAAATGACTGTGGGCTATCAACTCGAATTAACACTGCTGTGAAGAAGTGGAAGGCGCGGAAGCGATAGCCAAATAAAATTGTCATAACAATCTGTCGTTATGATGCTGAGATATTTGTAAAACTCTGGACCGCAAATGTCTGAGGTGGGGAACGAACGCGCTATTGTCCTTTCCGGGGGCTAACGCGTTCACCACCACACCATACCGGTCCTTCGTTTCGCCTGTCTCCCAGCTAGTTCTATCGATCACTGCCATTAGCAATCACCTGTCAAAGAGATTGATCTGAGGAGCCCAAATAGGCATTGAACCCAGTTAAGCTGAAGCTATACTAACTGAGAGACAGGTGAAACGAAGGACCCGCATGCTGTGGTGGTGAACGCGCTAGCCCCGGAAAGGGTAACAGGGCGTTCGTTCCCCACCGCAGGCACCTGAGGTCCACAATTTTGCAAATATCTCAGCATCATTGTGGTTGTTCCACAAATGACACCCTGCCGTGAAAATTTGTAAAAGGCAGTAAATAAAAGTCAACATTGTGAATCTGCCGTTAGTTTAATAGCCTAGGGAAATATTGATTACTGATACTGAGGTTTAATGATGGTTAGTTTTGAAACATATCTCTCTACACAGTTGCTTTCCAGCATAGGTACTCACCTTATATAAAATAATGCAGAGATCGTCAAATTTACCATGCAAGTCACCACAAACCGTTACCTAAAATATACGAGTAGTAAGTTTGTTTGATTGCTTCATATGTAAGCACTATTAACCGTGCCCGTCGGGATTCTACGCCACGCAAATTACCCATATCGATTGATTGAGTAGGGCAACTCCTTCAACTAATAACTCCCGAGATGCACTGCATTTGGTACGAAAATAATTTTTTATTTCATACAAACCGACATCACATGTTGTGTAGATGCCCACTGCCCACATCCGTTTCGTTTTCTCGCATTCATCATTTACGCAAGTCTTTGAATTTGTGGGTTCAGCCCTTGCTTTAGGATTTTTGATCTTCTTCATGAATGGTGGACGAGTCGATCCTCTCTCAAATCTTGGGATATCCGTGCTAGGGTGTTGCAAATCTTAACCACAAGCAGGCTCAATCTTTTGTGGACTGGAGGAAACCAGCCGCTCTCAGAAGGCTTTGGTACCAATTTCCTGACTCTAAAGGGATGAGAGGATTTATAAAGACCATTAGAATAAACAGATCTTCGCGTGTAAGAATACAAGTTTTGCTATTCTGAACAAGATGAAATTCAGACCTCTGGAGTCCACTCATTTCATTCAAGATTTTATTCTCCATCTTTCGAAGGCTTTAATTCTAAGCATATTTAAAAGTGAAGAAAGTATAAGGAGATATGCAAAAATTACATGTACAATTAATACGATAAAGCAAAACCTCCTCTATAAAGCTACGTAGTTCTCAATCCTTAAATGCGCCAACAGTGGTGGAATCATCAATTATCGAAAGACCAACTTCCGACAAATTTTCGTTCAATTCGTTCAAAAAGCCCTCTTGTCCCCCCCCCCCACTCCTTCTCTCTCTCTCTCCCTCTCTCTGTCTCTCTCTCTGTCTCTCTGTCTCTCTCTCTCTCTGTCCGTCTCTCTCAGTTTGCTTGGACTACACGAGAAAGCAAAGAATGGACGTCTAAGCAAGTTCTAAACGAGGAGATTAGCAATGCATAGCTCGTCGTTTTCTAACGTAGCATAGCCGAGACTCGACACTGATTGATCGACAACTAGAACATCTAAGGGGCCTAACAGAATTACGGAAGATGATTTGTTATATCGCTCTAGAGGTATAGGTACATTGTAAAATTGTCCTTCATCTTTAGACTTGTTTAAAGTTCACATTTCATAAAAATGCGAAATCGAAACTTAGCATTGTACAGATTTTCGCGCAGATTTTGATGGACACTGAGCACTAAAGATACGCCGAGGAAAACCACCTTGTCATCCCGGATGGAATACCGCTTGTTTAAATCGTTTCGTTGTTCTAAATACGAGAATTGACGACAACAAAAGCGTTTTGTAGGCTATAAAAAGTCAAATTTCGTAGTAGGATAAGGAAACTTGCGCGAATTGGAAAAGATTTCAAATTAGTTCATTTAATTCAATAATTCACTGCAAGTTGTTATATGTTTATAATAGAGCAGGAATATCCATCCAGTGGTTATTCAGCCGACATGTGTCGTATGTGACTCAAATAGTGCCACGTGTGTAACTGCACAACTCTTTGCTGTACATCACATATCGACAACCAGATACACATGCAGCTACGATGGGACGGCAATTCATTATGGAATAGAAATATATGGAACATATACGAAGCAGACGATGCGGTAAGGTGCTGTAGATTAGACACTAGATGTACCTGATTGGATATGGAGGTCGAAAGTCGAACAATTGGCGGTTGTTGCTTCAGAAGCCGGCGGGCCTCGAATAGGATCATCACTACGTATCGTGGATGCAGGATCTTGAAAAGCACAAATTCCAAAGTTTGCAATAGTTCTCGAAATTTTGTTGGATAATACTTAAAGAAATGAGCAATAAGTGAATTAAATAGATATTCTAAAAGTGGAACACTTGGTTCGATGAAATGCGGTAGAACGAAAAGAGCACTGCAAGTGAATGAGTGAATGGTATGAGAAGCTGAATTGATTTGAGGTAGCCAAGTGGTGATGAAAAAGGATGAAGCTCTCGGCGTTGATCTGAAGGATGCGCCATGCATTCGACTTCATTAAGCATGGTTTGGAGGTGATTGATTGCACATCTGGCCTTTACAGTGACGAGACAGTGCTGCTATTCTCCCAGACATGTCTGGTACAAATTTGCCGACACCGGAGGGATGGAGGGCTTGGTGGGCCATGGGCGCGAGGACCAATTCCACGTGTGTGTTGCAGGAGCCTTCGACCACTCCGCCACACGCGCCCAAGTGGGTATAGGTGAATGAAAACAGAAGTGGTAAAGAATGATTCAAAGGACTGGAAAAGAGACAGCCCAGATGCTTCACGAGCGGCTGTCAAGTCTAAGCTTTTTCGACAGTGCAAAGAACTACTGAATGATTTCTTGTTTGTATAACTACTATGCCCAGTGTTCAGTGTTTTTGCTACATTTCTACTCATTTTCCACTTGCTTTTGTGTTTTCCAATATATCATACGTAATCACAGTGGACCGACCTTGTTCACCTTGAACGCCTCCAACATCGCAGCGACCTGATGCTTGTCTATCGGAATCGTGATCACCGGACCCTTATAGTTCTTCTCGACCACGATTTTATTTGGATCCGCCGTCTCCATTAGGCGTAGGAAATCGTTTTCGCTATCTTCTTTAACACAATTTCAATGCTTTCCAATTAACATGAAAAAGAACTACCCAAGGTACTAATTACCGATTACTTAATAACCCAAGTTCCCAAGGATGATAGTTGCAAGCAAAATTAAGTATCTTAAATCTTATTCCGCACTTAGGTCAAGAAAACTATTGCCAGCCGATCATGTTTGCGTATGAAGCAGAATGCTTGCTACGGAAAGGCAGTGAAACATAGCTCTATGTGAAAACGGTCGAATGAAAGAGAAGAGACCACAGTGTTTTATATCTCATAGAAATTCGTGTTTTTTAATAGATTAGTAGACTGCTGGTTAACAGTGATTCAACAGTGTTCGACCTTCGAAAACCGCGTTCATTAACATCTTTACATCTCCTTTTCCTACACTTCTTGGGGACCTCTGACATCAAAATCACTTAAAGGAATTCAGTATTGTTGAGCTTAGAGCTGCGAGCGACCGTCTTGGTCCGTTTGTCGCATGGGTCCGCTAGTCCTAGCGGCCTGCTGAGCTGTGCTGACAGCATAGCAACCACCAGTGTTGGTTGGCCTGCTGAGCTGTGCTGACAGCATAGCAACCACCGGTGTTGGTCTCTGCGCAGATTTTCCAGAATCGAAAATTTCCACAACAGCTTCCTACGACTGTTGGCATTTTGTTGTGGTATTATGATAAAGAAAAGGTGTTCGAGATTTACCAAAACTTTAGCGTGAAACATCACCAACTCTATGCAATGAATAGATGGAGTGTTTTTGCACTAAAACTACCCGAACAAAAAGGTGAAAAAGTTCAATTCAGCTCCTAACTTACCTTCGACTGTCGTAGCGTAGCTGCTGATAGCTGTAAAAAAGACAAGTCAACTTTTGTCATTGTTTCTTTCCCATATGCCACCGAATCTAATCAAATATGCCAATAGCGATTGTATAATGTTTTCTTACTGATTGCTTTTAGGTCAATTTATCCCTCTAGTCAATAGGCTGCACTTAGTCCTTCCCTATAGCGCTGACTTCAAGACCATTAAAACTTGAGTTATCGACGAATATGTAGCAATACATTTGAACTAATTGAATTCGCTATACAATTTGGAAGCAGAATAGCGGAACACAAACTCGAGGTAATAGAAAATGGACGAAGTATTTCTTTTGGGCTTTCTCTTCATCCTTTGTAATGCTGGTTGAAGCTAGGTGAATGCTCAGGCCCATGAAGACCATGAGCCAGATTTGAGTCGAGAATTTAAGTAGTTTTCAAGGTATATAGCTACGTACCGGAAGCGAATGGCGAATTCCCGGGATCACGGGATTCGCTGTTTAGCATGGCGGTGATGACATCACTGAAGAAGTCGTACAGCTACAGAGCAGGTTTGCAGCGTTCTGTAGTGATACAACACTTACCTTCAGCTGATCCTGCTCGCCGGCGTACTCGAGCGTCGTGAATATGCTCCAGCTGGCTCGGCGTCGTGCTTCCAGTCGTGCCTGACAGCGTCGATACCATTTCTGGATCAGAATCGCCGACTTGATTGCTGAAACGGACAGTTTCGACCTCGTCCAGATCAACACTGAGTAGGGAGTGCATGGGTGTGATAAGGAGCTGATAATGTTCGGATGTTCGGCATTCAGTTTCATTTTTTTCAGAATTTTTCGTTCGTCATTTAAAAAATAAGGAAAATGAAAAGGTAGTAACGGGACCATGTCGAGTGTTAGATTTTTCCCCTGGACTCCCGATTTCCTGGACCTAGTAACTGTCTCAGTTCAAGTCTTCAATTGGACCGAAGGAACAAAAGCCTCCGGCAGTGAATTCTGGTTGACCAGTAAGGATCGCACTCATTTTTAAAAGCGTGTGCACTATATTTTATTCCACCACTGCCACTTCTCCGTCGTTCCTTCTTGACGGCAACATGTTTGCAGTGGAGTTCGCTTATTGCACGCGTGATTATTCCTCCTCTAAAGGTGTACTGCCTTAACGGATGGGAGGTGTCGGACTGCGAGTTCAACAAAAGGTTCACCCCGAACTGGGTCACCAAGCTGAGTTTGAATTTCCTATCCAATAGCTCAGATAGGTGTGAACTAATGGCAGTAATCATCTCCATGTTTATAAAGACGCTCCCGCACGCTGACCAAATTCACCAATACGCGTGGCTGGTGACTTTTCGTGAGAACGACATGGAAACGCTTCACTAAGACAGTCCACAGAAAAAGACAGATGTTGCTACCACAGTGGAATTTATAGCTTATCTGCAGATTCGACAATAACAAAAGATGAGGTAGTGGTGATAATACTGTCAGAAATGACACTTTTGTAACTTTCTTCTGAGCAGTAGTGCAATTTTGAAAAATCGTCTCTTATGTGGAGAAGTTTTCTTTCAAAAAAATTTGTCTCTGCATAGCCGTCTTCTTGCGAGCTCTTTTGAGAATGGAAAAGATTTCTGAAAATCCGTGCATTTCAAAGTGAAAAGACTAGAGAAGAAGGGAAAACGTGAAGTGCTTAGAGTGCTCTTTGTGTGTCACATAACAACGATTTCTACAACTGTGATCAGTGCAGAGTGGAGATCCGGTGACTGTGCTGAGCTCACGTATTTGAGTAGGAGATGATGATGAAGTCGGAGTTTTGGAAGTCCGAGGAGGTATTGCTTTCACTTTTATGACGTTTTCGTGTACCGGACGCTTCACCAAAGCTAGAAATAAAATTCTAAATGCTGTAGAAAATGGCGAAAAATTTGTCGTCTTACATCCTAAATCTAGGATATTTAACTAAGTTCGTTGCCTAAGGATGGAGACTTATCTCTAGTGTTTAAATTTGCCAGTATTATGCTCCTTAACCATATGACTAATGTTGACGACGCCTCTATTCCCTCATGCTTATATCCACTATTCACGTTCTAAGTGGCAAAGTACGCCAGGTCTTAAGCTGTTGTTTCTCAGCCGATAAGAATTATGTAGGGAGATTCCGAAAGTAATGACAAATCTCGCCCAGCACATGCACATCGGTGAGGTCGTACAAACCCATTCTTCGAGATTTTTGACGTCCTCAGTTAGTTTGAAGTGTTCGAGAGCTATTCAATCTGAAGCAGCAATCTTCGAAACGACTTAAGTAACATCGAAATATACGCTGCCATTAAAAAAAGAGTAGGCGGTAAATAAAACGGTTAAGATTGTGATTATAACTAAAGCCTCAGCTGAACTGGGTTCATTGCCGATCTGAGCTCCCCAGATCAATACCGCTGACGGGTGATTGCTGATGGCAGAGATCGATAGAACTAGCTGAGAGACAGGCGAAACGAAGGACCCGCATGGTGTGGTGGTGAACACGTTACTCTTCGGAAAGGAAAGCAGCGCGTTAGTTCGCCACCGCAGACACCAGCGGTCCAGAGTTTTGCAAATATCTCAACATCGTTGAAGTTATATTTCGCAATATACCCTGCCATTAAAAAAAGAGTAGACAGTAAATAAAACGGTTAAGACTTAAGTAACAGTTACCCAGCAGTCATCCTTGAGTCCATCCATCCAGAGACTCGCGTGTTGCGCACGACACCACCGATGCCCTCGTTGTGCTTCGCCCTCAGCCAGACTTTTTACCCTAACGGTGTCATCAACAATAACCCGTGAAAATACTGACTGAGAGAGCGGCAAAACGAGGGCCTTAGTGGTGCTCTGCGTAATATTTGAGCCCCTGGAAAGGTTAATCACGGTTCGATCCGGCCTGGGGTACAAGTTGTGCAAATATTTCGGCATCATTGTGAAACTTATTTCACATAGGATATGTCCAAGGTAGAAATATTTTCATTAAGAACTGTGTATTAACTAAAGGGTTGTTCACCAGGAGTGTCAAACCACTCATCTAATGATGTTATATTGACTCCAACACGAAGGAATGTCGGGGACCAATGAGCCTTTAAACAAATCATCTCGTTGTACAATGTGCCCAGGCGATTTGTGCAACTCTTCAGTAGGTACTAACTTACTATAGCAAACTGGAAACACCCCACAAACACAGTCGCACCGATTTGTTATTTCAGGTGTTCAGCATCACACCTCCGCTTCGAACGATCGATGATACACTCACTGCCTTCCGACTTCACAATGGTGGTGTTGTTGAATGTCCTACTGTTATAGGAAGCGTTTAATTCTTGGCCAACCTACATCAAATCTGACAAAATCCTAGCACCAGCATGTCTAAGATTTCTTGTGGTCTACAAAAGTGAAGGTGGTTATCATAGATAACACACGAGTCACAGGGAAAAAAAGTTAAAGAAACAGATGTATAACATGGAATGAGAGTGTTTTTTGGTCCGCGCTTTTCGTTGTGAACATCACTCCATTCCTGTCGTGCCACCCAACCGTACAACTTTCGCAATGAAACACGAACACTATTATGAACAGTTATAAGCCTTCTAATTCGTTGCGACTAAGCTATGGCCGTTCTTTTATTATTTGGAGGTAGTGAAGACTTGGAACCGGGTTTAGCTCGAATTCTGTTCACCGTTAAGAGGTTTTTCGAGGTCAGAAGAACCTTCGTCTACGTCAATACACAATCTACCACCGTCAATAACGCCAACTAGCAGACGATACCTGCAAGAAAACTCACAGTGATGCAAGAACAGAAAGACATCCAGGTTGTGGGTTGTTATTTAGTAGTCTCCGAGCTTAAGAGCATTACGACAGATTTCCTTCGAGTTAAAAGCCATAATTCATAATAAATGTAAACTTACTTTAGACTGCAAGAGAACATGTCGTCAAGAACACAAACTTCAAGACCACAGGAGATACTTTCATATGGTCATCCGAGAAAAGTGTGGGAAACATCATCGGAAAACCATACCAAACTATCATATTACCCATGTTGAGTGTTCTCTACAAGAACAGTTCTTTTCATAATGTGGTGATCGACGTCATAAACATACTAGGTCGATGAAAATTAAGCTCGTATTTGCAATTTCACTTTTATTTATATTTTTTTCAAGACCTCCTTTCTTCAGATACTGTACCATTACGCATTATTCCAAAGCCCAATTTATGCATTCGATCTCGCCCCAGGCTCACGAAGCCTGTCATCTCTCGGGGTAAGCAAATTGGTACCGGACTTGTTGGAGAATAAAACCACTCTGCCATGCAATTAGTAACGCTCCAGCACGGCTATCTCAGTACTCTAGGAAGAATCGACTCGACCGGAATTCCACGACATTCAAGATGGAATAACAATCCTCAAGCAGAAGCCGAAACCACACGTAAAACACGTAGAAGTTAGAAGACCTCAGTGGATGACGAATGCGAGAAAACGAATCGAATGTGAGAAGTGCTGGGAACCGGACGTTAAGGTGGGTCGTGTAGAAGACAATTTAAAGAAGCTTATGCATATTCATTGTGTATAATCAGATGCTAATATGTTTTCTGACAACTCTATGTTTTTTTTTGACAATATGTTTAGCGTTCCTGATAAATTTTAAAGGCTACAGTTTCAGATGTCAACGCAGCAGCCTCGTAAAATTTACTTCTGCGAATTCAAACTCGGACGTACGCAGCGCATGGCGCGAATGAAGTGTTAGCGAACGCACAGTGGAACGTTGATTTGGAAAATTTCGTCGTCGTAGCGAATTCGACCTTGAATGTGAGAAAGGTGGCGGTCGAGCTTCTCCTTTTGACAGCAAATAATTTAAAGGTTGGGTGGAAGCGAATTCAGGTATAACTCTTTGAGAACTTGCAGAAAAACATGTAGCAGCATTTCAACTGATTCGGAGCATCGAAAGAAATGCAACAGTCGAAGAAGCTCGACAAATGGATGAGGTGGGAACTGAGTAAGAATGAAAAAAGTTGGAATTTTGAAATCGACTAGCGCTCCCTCTACGCAAGAAGAACGACTCGTTTCTCGCACACATCCTTATTGTTATAAAAGCTAAACATTGTGATTTCGAGTACAGTTTCAGCTTAACTGGGTACAATGCCAATTTGTGCTCCCCAGGTCATTGGTGTGATGAGTGATTGCTAATAGTAGCTATAGATTAAAACACGGCTAAGAGCGAGGCGCGTGTGGCGCAGTGGTAGCAGGAGTCCTGCAACGCATACGTGGAATCTATCCCAGTGTCCATGGCCCATCAAGCCTTCCATCCTTGCGGGGTTCGCAAATTGGTACCAGATTTGTCTGGGGGAATAGCAGCACTGGCTCGATACATCGGTAGGCCCCTGCGAGTCACTGTAAAGGCCAGATATGCATTCAATCATCTCCAAACGACGCTTAATGAAGTCGAATGCATGGCGCATTCTTCAGGGATTGATCAACGCCGGAAGCTTTATCCTTTTAACCTTTTAGGGAGACGCGAAATGGAAGTCCAGCATGGTGTGGTGGTGAACACGATAGCCACCGGAAAGGGTAACAGTGAGTTCAATCCCTAATGCAAACACCTGCGTTCTAGAGTTTTGCAAATATCTCAGCATTATTGTAGTTGTAAGTTTTGCTTCAGTTCGCACCCACTTGTTGATAATATGTCGAAGTTTTTGAACGTATGGGACACTTTTACCGTTTGCAAGTACTTGCGATTGAAGGAACGTTACAAAATGTTAAAGAGATGCGTAGTGCTTCGATCTACACATTCGAGTCGTCAGTGAAATAGAAGATATTAAATAACAGCCAC